AAGTGCTGCACATCAGAGAAGCTTTAAAAACCAGTTTCATGACTGGCCAGGGTACCGTGTGACAGGTCTATTTGTTTCTCCTTGATGAAAATCCGCCCCCTTGGTTGATTCTAATTCCCTGTAAGCCAGCTGCCCTCCCCCCTTGATTACAGCTTGGAAATAAAGTCACTATCGTTTAAAAACCATGTATTTTTTATTAATAGATTATAAAAATAGGGAGATAACTCACAAGGTAGCCCTGGTGGGGTAGGGGTGGAGGGAAGGAAAAGGCCACTTCAATACTTGTTGAATGACAGCCTTCTGTCCACTGGGGTGGTTGGGTGCTCAGAGCCTGCCTCCCTCCCCCTGAGTTCTTGGGCGTCTGGGTGAGGAGGCGACTATGGAACTTGGGGAGGAGGGAGGGCAATTAAACGGGCTGCAGCGGCAGTCTCTCCAGCTTACGTTCCTGAACCTCAACCAGATGCCGGATCATGTCAGTTTGTTCCCGCAGATCTTCTTGCCGCCACCTCTCCTCACGTTCACTGGCTGCTTTCCTGTCCTGTGCTATTGTGTCCCTCCACACTTTCTGCTGAGCTCTTTCAGTGCGGGACGCCTGCATGAGCTCAGAGAACATTTCATCGCGTGTACGTTTTTTTTTTTTTCCACCGCCTTATCTGAGATAGCCTTTGGAATGGAGGAGGGAGGGTTGAAACATTTGCAGCTGCAGGAGGAAAAAAGGAGAGAAGTATTTTAAAAGATACGTTTTACAAAACAATGGGTATACTCTTTCATGGTGAACAACACTATTCACATTACATAGCACATGTGATTTTGGTACAAGGTCATTTTTTGCATCTTGTATAGCGTGCCTGCGGCTTTGGTGTTAGAGATCAAACACGCCGGGCAACAGAATTCTGCTTGCAGGCGGCCATGGTAAGCCATAGTCTTTTGGCTTCTGCAACCTTGATAACAGCAGCGCCCTCCTTTCCCATACCAAGCAAAGCCCATTGAGTTGTCCATTTAGGGCTGTTAACGTGCAGCAACGGAAACCAAACTAAACACCCCCCCCATCCTTTTCTCTCCTTTAACCCTCCTCCCCACCGCACCGCGTGGCTGATAGCAGGAAAGATCCCTGCTAGCCAAACGTGAACAGCTCAGCGCCAATATCTCTCCTCCCCCCCCCCCCCCCCGCCTTGGCTAACTGCAGGGAGGATTTCTTTTCAGCCACAGGCAAACGGCCCAGTAGGAACGGCCACCTATGAATGTCCCCTTAATTAAATTCCCATATTTCAACCAGGTTACCATGAACGATATCACTCTCCTGAGGATAACACAGAGAGATAAAGAACAGATGTTGCTTGAATGCCAGCAAACACCGGGACCGTACACTGCCAGGCTTTGTCATGCAATGATACCAGATTACTTGCTACTAGCATAGCATGGTAAAGTGTCTTACCATGGAGGACGGAATATGGCTGCTCTCCCCAGAAACCTTCTGCAAAGGATTTTAGAGTAATTCCAGGAGAGCTTCATGGAGATGTCCCTGCAGGATTTCCACTCCATCCCCAGACACGTTAACAGACTTTTCCAGTAGCTGTACTGGCCACAAATGCATCCCAAGCCCTTAGGGCAAATTAATCATTTAAAAAACACTTGCTTTTAAACCATGTTTTATATTTACAAAGGTACGCTCACCAGAGGTCCCTTATATGGCTTCATGGTCCGGGATACCGCCTTGGGAGGGTTGGGAGGGTATTTCAGTCAGGGTGAGAAAAAGATCCTGGCTGTCGGGGAGAACGGTGTGCTGTGTGCTCTCCTCAACCTCGTCGTCGTCGTCCTTCTCATCTTCCCCGTCTGCAAAATCCTCAGGCATTGCAATTGAGAGTACCCCATCATCGGAGTCCACGGAGAGGGGTGGGGTAGTGGTGGCGGCCCCCCCAGAATTGCCTGCAGCTCAGCGTAGAAGCGGCATGTCTGCAGCTCTGTCCTGGAGCGTCCATTTGATTCTTTGGCTTTCTGGTACGCTTGTCTCCGCTCCTTAAGTTTCACACAGCACTGTGTTGAGTCCCTGTTGTGGCCTCTGTCCAGCATGGCCTTGGAGATTTTCTTTCAAATGTTTTGGCATTCTGTCTTTTGGAACGGAGTTCTGATAGCACGGATTTGTCTCCCCATACAATGATCAGATCCAGTACCTCCTGTACTGTCCATGCTGGAGTTCTTTTTCGATTCTGGGACTGCATGGTCACCTGTGCTGATCAGCGCTCCACGCTGGGCAAACAGGAAATGAAATTCAAAAGTTCACAGGGCTTTTCCTGTCTACCTGGCCAATGCATCAGAGTTTCAGATTGCTGTCCAGAGCGGTCACAATGGTGCACTGTGGGATAGCTCCCGGAGGCCAATACCGTCGAATTGCGTCCACACTAACCCTAATTCGAACTGGCAATGTCAATTTCAGCGCTACTCCCCTCATCAGGGAGGAGTACAGAAATCGTTTTTAAGAGCCCTTTATGTCGACAAAAATGGCTTTGTTGTGTGGACCGGGCGCAGGGTTAATTCAATTTAACGCTGCTAAATTCGACCTAAACTCGTAGTGTAGACCAGGCCTTAGAAACTAATATTTATTTGAGCATAAGCTTTCGTGGGCTAAAACCCACTTCATCGGATGCATGCAGTGGAAAATACAGTAGGAAGATACATACACACACACACACACACACAACATGGAAAAAATGGGTGTTGCCATACCAACTGTAACGAGAGTAATTAATTAAGGTGAGCTATTAAAAAAAACTTGTAGTGATAATCAGGATGGCACATTTCCAACAGTTGACAAGCAGGTGTGAGTAACAGTAGGGGGAAAAAAGAATTAGCATGGGCGAAAAGTTTTTACTTTGTATAATGACCCATCCACTCCCTGTCTTTATTCAAGCCTAATTTAATGGTGTCTAGTTTGCAAATTTAATTCCAATTCTGCAGTTTCTTGTTGGAGTCTGTTTTAGAATTTTTTTTTGTTGGGGATGGGGAACGGGGGGGGTTGGATGGGGGCGGGGGTCCCAGGGGACCTGTCAAGGGGCGGGGATGTGGATGGGGTTCCAGGGGTGCAGTTAGGGGGACAAGGAGTGGGGGGGGGTTGGATGGGTCGGCGATTCTGGGGGGGGGGAAGACGACAGTCAGGGGGCGGGAAGTGGGAGGGGCGGGGGCCAGGCTGTTTGTGGAGTCATAGCCCTCCCTACCCGGCCCTCCATCCAGTTTTGCAACCCCAATGTGGCCCTCGGGCCAAAAAGTTTGCCCACCTCTGCCTTAGTATGAAACTAGCTTGTTTACATTGGTGTCATGGTCTCCTTATGAGAAGACTATAGATCACAGAGGTTAAGTATTGGGGCCGCTTCCCAAATGTTAATACTGCCCCTAACCAGTTCGATCGTCGCTCTTCCATACCAGTTTTCCAAGTCTAATTTACTTTGAGGAAAGGTGGGGAAGTAGGGGAAATAAAGCAGCCCAGTCGGAGCATTGTGGTTCTTAAGAAACCCACACTTTAGAAAGCTCGTTCAAGAAGTGCTTAATTGATCTGATTGCATATTAAATATTCAAAAATATGTATGTATTAGAACTTAGCATTTTGTTTGTGTTGGAAGTATGGGTAGGGACTGGTAGTAGGTGGGTGGGCGATATCTGTGTATAAATCTGACTACAAGCTGCGTAAGTTCCTACCCTAAAATGTAAGGGCATCGGTGTCTTAAATCTATTTTAAAAAGCTAATTGAACTTCTTTAGAAGTTCATGTGGAGTAACTACTTAGGGTATGAGAGACCTTCAGATGTGCAATTTTGAAAATGTACTTCTCTTCAGCAGCTGTGGCAAGCCCCCTCTTGTGGGAGAAAGACTGCGTGAAGGGTCCTGAGATATGGTGTCAGAATTTGCGGACTGCATCACAATGTGGAGCTGTGAAACACTGTCAGCAAACTGTCTGGAACAAGCCTTCTGTGGTGAGTGTAATTAGGACTTGTTCCACTGACATTCAGCTCATCTGTATTTTCATGTGCTGCTTAACTGTTTCTAAAGTTTGTGTCTGACTTGGAAAAGGAAGGTGCCATTTGAATCACACTTTTTTTTCTAGATGTTCAGGCCAGCCAAAATTTTTGCATCAAAGATTTGGCTACAATGTGTTAACTTAGATCTTAAAAAGAAATAGGATTTTCTTATGCAAGCTATGGAGGGAAAGGAAGAGCACTCTGCTAACTTCTGCCTATGTCCGTCCAGTCACTGTTTTGTAGGGTAGCAGGAGAGGGAAGAATAACCTAGAGACCATCCTGGACAGAAACTGAATGAGCTGTGTAAACTTTTATGCTTCCAGGAGTGAATCCTATAAACTTAATGCCTGTTGTCTAACATCCATTATGGCTGCAGAGATCTCATTGAGCCACACTAAATTTGAAGGTGTCACAATGGAAAAATAAGTAAAATTGTAATTATATATATATGCCTGCAGCGTTTGCTAAAACTTACCATGTACTGCATTTTCTGTGGAAACTTATATTGTGGCAATGGCCTTCATCTCCATAATGGTATAATCAGTGCGCCTTCCAAATCTGTATGCTTGAGAAAGTATGTTTTAATATGGTTAACATTGGTGTATAAATGCATCGGGAAATGTGTTGGAGGGTACAAGACTGGCTAGTTCTACTAGACCATCTGGTCCCACCTCCTGCCACCTTGTTTTACTCTTTTTGCTACAAACAGGACCAAAAATTGATTGAATACCATGCCCCCAGAGGCAGTGTTTTAGCTTGATTAAAAAATTGGTTATGGGAAGATTTGGCTGTCTGACCCCCCACTCTTGCTAGTTTTGGACTACAGTTTTTGAGTCATTCTGATCTTATTTCTATTATTCTCCTTCCTCAACACAAAATCAAATGGTGGCATGCTTTCCACCTAATTCCTAAACAGAGCAGTCAAAAACAATCTCTGGAGCCTTAATGTCTTGAAGGGGAAGGTGGAACAGGAAAGTCCCTCTAAGATGGGCATATCAAAAGCAAACTTTCACACAGTCATATGTGAAAGAGAACATGTTGTATTAGTGATATTTCTTACCGCAGTAGATGTGCTATTGCTTTGCTTTCTTCCACCCACATATGTTGGTTTTGTATCTGACATCAGTCTATCCTAGAAACTGGAACTTGACACATTTGAAAAGGCCTTGACTTTGGGCTCAAACAGGAAGAGAATTGGCCTGTTTTTGGAAGAGAGGAAATAAAGCACAAAAAGCTTGAAAAATGCAATGCACAAGGAAAGCTTAGTATATTTACTAACTTTTAGGTCCCTCTGAAGTAACCTTTGTTTACTCTATTTTCCTCAGAAAAGCATCCCATGTGACTTATGTAAAGAGGTTGTAACAGTGGCTGGGAATCTCTTGAAGGACAATAGCACAGAGGTAAGCTTAAGGGCACTATGTGACTTCATTGTAGTAGGTAGTGGTGATCCCCCAGGGAGGGGGAGTGATCTCCAAATGGGGTTTAACGCTTTTAAAAACTAGTGTTGAAAGAAGTATTAGTGCAGTGAGTATCACCACTGGTGGCTCTGAGAAGATCTCGTACTGGAGAGCAAAGACATGTATCATCACACCCCACCCCACTTCAGAGTTCAAGTGTTTCCAGATTGCGTATAGTCATTCTCTGAGAATGAAGAACTGGCACATCTTTCTGCTGCTTGCATGCATGAACACAGCCAATAACCCTCCTCTCATCTCATAGGGTGAGATCCGTTCTTATATCGAGAAGATATGTGAGTTTCTTCCTGACCAAGGCCTGGTATCTGAGTGTAAGGAGACCGTGGATGCTTACCTACCAGTTGTCATGGACCTGATCAAAGAAGAGTTAGTAAGTTGACTGTAAATTTTTGAAAATCTTAAATTGAAAAACTATGCCATGTCTCTGAGTTTTGTCTCTTGTAGGGTAAGTGGTGGGTGAGTCTAATCCTTTAAGCAGATACAAATGAGATTTACTAACTTCCCTAATGTGCAGACCGTTAAGTCATTACAATAAAAGAAAACAAATCTAAGTAGTGGTGTATGTCCAGATCTTGTCTTTGAACTCCTGTCATCCAAAACTCCCTGTTCTTAAATTTTGTCCTCAATCTCTCATTTCACTGCTCCTGATAATATAAATGTTCCCGATGTCCTGAAATGTCTTTGATATAAATTGTGTTAATACAATAATAGAAATCACAGCCAGAAAAGTTCTATTTACTTGTCTATACAATGTTGCATTATAAATCTAATGGAAGTGTTTCCATTTCACGAAGGTGCAGATTAGGGATTACAAGGAAACAATTACCAGTTTAAATTCTAAAACCACTTTCTTGCAGTGAATCTTTGCTCGCTTTTAAGGTGCATTCAACCTGTGAGATTGAATATGGCATCAGACTAGTGCTTTGTTTTTCTAATTTTTTCTCTCTCGTATTCAGGATAATCCTCAAGTACTGTGCAGTGCCCTCTGCTTGTGCCAATCCCTTCAGAAGCACCTTGCTGCAATGAAACTTCAGAAACAGCTCCAGTCCAACAAGATACCTGAACTGGACTTCTCAGAACTGGCATCTCCCTTCATGGCTAATGTGCCTCTTCTCCTTTACCCTCAGGACAAGCCCAAGCAAGAGTCTCAGGTAAGGATGCAGCATATCTCTGGGCACAGGAGAAGTGAATGTGTGTTCCATTCAAGTACCTCAGTGGTCTTTATAACAGTTTATTGATAATTTGGGTTAACAGGCAACTTTAGAAGTTTGGAAAGCCAGCATGCATTTAACTAAGTGAATGCCGCACTACAAATAAATTGTGTTATACATATGAGTGTGAAATAGCCGTTTTGCTGGCTATGCAGTATTTGTTATGATTTGTCTTCTGCATTGTTATAGTCCAAGGTAATGATACTGCCTATAATTAGGATTGCCTGACACTTTCCATTACAGGATCCTGCTTTTTAGTTGCTTATAACTTTGCCAAACTTTAACTCTTTGGGATGAAACTCTTCCAGGCCAGGTATCACAATTGTTCTCTTTGAAAGCTTCAACAAAAAGGGTCCAGCTGTTTCAGAGAATGGGATGAGGGAAAAATGTTTTGCCTGTTTTAAAAAACAAACAAACAAACCAAAAACAAAACTTTCTGTTTTTAGTGAAGTTTTAGTACCTCTCCAGGCTTTCGAACAAAGGCTTGAAATTTGTCAGGGAAGTGCTATTTTTGCTGTTGCAGTAAAAAAAACCCCACCCATATCTGACCAAGTTATAAGCCTCTGAAAAATCTTAAATTTACAATGCTCAATAGAACCTTGTTAGAGTTTAGCAACTAAATTCGCTGAAGATTCTGTCTGTATTGAGCATGCTGCAGCCCAGGCCTGCAGGAGCTGAGCAGGACTTTCCCTGCAACTGCTTCTCCCAGTGGCACTAGACCTGAAAGCAAGGAGATTACTGAGACCCCAGGAAAGAATCTCCCTGCTGCTACCTTGTGGAAGAGGAAGTAACCTGAGTCCAATGCTGAGGCAACAAGAACTGCCTTGCAGGAAAGGAACAAGATGTGTTGTATAGGGAGTAGACCGGGAGCTGCAGAGGACAGACTGGAAGGGCCTCAGGCAGAACGGCCTGTGACTATCCGAATGTTCCTCTCCAGAGCCAGGAGTCTCAGTATTCCTGAGCTGTCAGCAAATAGCTATGACACCTGCTGACAGTGTATACCTCATCTCCCCTCAAATGCTGGAAAACTCAGTGAGGGCAACAGACTATTCCTGTCAGTTACTCCAAAAGCTCAAGTGTATTAGTAGAACTTATGATTTTATAAAGTACTCTTTAGAAGAAGTGTTAAAGTTCTTATCGTAGAAGTGGTAATTGATACCAGCAAAACAAGTCTGGCAGATGTTCCTGCGTAACAAGCTTTAAGGTAGTATTTTCCTTTTCTCCCTTTTCAGGGGGCTGGGGACGTGTGCAAAGACTGTGTTCAGCTAGTCACTGATGTTCAGGAAGCTGTAAGGACCAACTCCTCTTTTGTGACTTCCTTAATTGCTCATGCCAAGGAGGAGTGTGAACGCTTGGGACCTGCCGCAGCTGACCTGGTAACAAAATAATCTTCTGTTGATTAAGGAAATTGTCCATAGTGGAGACATGAAATGACCTCTGTAAATGTCGGTTTTCAATGGGATTTATATTTGGTAGAAACAAGGTAGATAATGTTAGGTGCGGCTCTTGGACTTAATTTGCTGGCCCAGCATTTACAAACCATAAGGTTTCTGATCCAAAAAAGCTTTCTACCTCCTTCCTTCTCTCAAAATTAAATCCTCACTCTAAGGTGAGCGTCTTAATGTTTTGAAAAGCCTGGAGGATTGTGGCAAGTAATCTCGGAGCTAATAGCAATTACTGGGTGAGGTAATGCTGCAATAGTTTAATACATTTTTCTTTCATTAAATAACAAAATGGGGTGATGGGAAACACATGATGTGCACAAGTCATTTTGTTTGACTGTGTCCAAAAGTGCCACATTCAAGAAACTGTAAGTACACACAGATAACTGCATAACATGGCAAAATAGTACAAATATGCTGGGGACAAATTAATTGTTGTAGGAAACATTGCTTTGAATTTTACAAGATGTATGTAATTTCACCATAATGTGGCATTAACAGTTGCATGTATGGGTAAAGTGGTTTTGTTTACTGGCCTGTATTTCTCTTCCACAGTGCAAGGACTACATCTCCCAGTATTCAGACTTGGCTATTCAAATGATGATGCACATGGTAAGATCATTTGACTGCAAATCTCCTCTTGGTATAACTTCTCTGTTTTGTGTAGCTTCCTCTTAACTTATTCTGGAGAATGTTAATACCCTAAGTCTTCTAAAGGTCATCAGGACTCCTCCAGATTCATTTTGAAGTGTGTAAACTTCATAGCTGAGGTCTTGAGATCCTTAATCCAGTCATATTAGTATACTTGGCGACTAAAGTCTGAATTCATTCTTTAGCTGTTTCCCCTATGTATCTGTCACAGCCATTCTAAGGATACATAGACATCTTTGTTCTTGCAGACCTCGGAGTGCATGTAATAAATAGCTTTTAAATCTTCCATTGTGTATACTCTCTCGAACGTGGCTACTTTTTCACCTCTATGCCAAAAATGCTTCTTACAGATGCCTGAGCTGGTCCTTCCCAGGGACCTGACTTGATAACAAAACCTGGTTGATGGCATGGATGTGGCACATCCCCACGGTAGTAAGCATTGTCAGAAGAGTGGGGTTTCAGATAGCTGAAGTTCTAATGCATCTGAGGTTGGGGCGTATGCAGTGGAGAATAAATTTTTTGTTCCATTGATACAGATATTGTGCACAAAAATGCATAAATTTTGTTTGCAACCGCTTACATAGCACTTTTTCATCCAGGGATTGCAAAGCACTTTACAAAGACTGGTAAGCACTATTATCTCTGTTTTTAAAAATAGAGGAACTGAGATACTGGGATGTGTCCAAAGTGACACATTCACTGGCAAGATAGATCTGTGAATAGAGCCCATGACTGACTTGAACACTTGTTCTAATCAATAGACATGCTATCTCGCTTTAAATAGCCTTACTTAAATTGTTTTCAGCATGTCTCAAAGGCTTGAACTTGACAGTATATTGTGGGCCTCTTGTTTCGGAGTTTGTCAGTTAGAAATGACTTTCAGGAGTTAAGGGCACACTTTATGCAAAAAAGAAAATTAAAATGTTCTTTCCAATTAAAGTTGGCTTCAAATTTTCAATTGTAACTATTGCATCTTGACAGTACTTCAAAACTGGAACATGAACACATTTAACATTCTGGTTTGCTCTGAGCAGTGTTCGCATATTGTATGGATGTAATCTTTCCTAGGGTGCTTTATCAATGTGATAGCACATTTTTCAAGCTATGAGCTATTCTGGAGTGAGCAATTAACTACATGAAGGGTCGTCCTTGCACTGCCTACCTCATGCATAGAGGTTGGGGCACTAGCAAGATTTTTTTTTTTTTTTGTTAAAAACCATATGCACAGCTCAACTGCTTGAGGTTTTTTCCTTTATCAAACTGTTGTCTTTCATTTCTTTTTTTTTTTTTCTTTCTCTGTCGCCAATCTCCTCTATCAACAGCAGGACCAGGTATGTGAGAAACTTGCCTGTGGTGGTGCTTTTTAGCTACAGGGCTGTAGTTCACCTCTTGCTAATTAGTTGTGTATGTGCTGTGACTGCCCTCAGCTTTGACAGATACAAGGGATGTTTGGGGGTGGAGTGAAAAAGAGAAGGGTGAGAGAGATCTCCAATGAATAGGTCATGGTTCCTGCTCCTGATATCAGCTCTTCATTAAGATTTCAACCTAATGGTGGAACCGCCAGTGGAGCAGATTGCTTTTCCTGGGGTAGAGGTGAAGATGTAGGAAAATCTTGACGCTGCCTCTAATCAGTTTCTGATTTCACTCTTGAGTCCTAGAGCTCTAAGATGAAGTCAGTGCTGTGACTGGCTTTCTTCTAGGATAACCTTTATAGGCCAGGGCAATAGTTGTAGACAGCCACAGCATGTGAATTGGGAAGAAGATACGGGGGGGCCTTCAAATTTCCATTCCTCCAGTGTCTCCTAGTTTCCTATTTAGAAAAGTCCTGGGGGAGACCTTGTGTCTGTCATGTTTCAATGAGAACATGTTGCATGTATGTGGTGCTGCTGTAGCATTAATACCTTGAAATGCTTATTATAGTGCATGAACCAGGGAACTCAACTAAAGGCAGTGCCTGGCTGACCTGAATCTGTGTAGTCTGAAGCGGTGCTCTCTGTCTGAGGTATTGCTTCTACCTGTGCATGGAAGTCTTATAGGCAAGGGGCATGATAAATAAAACTGTATGGCATTACAGTAAACCTCCATTGTCTGAAATTGTTTGACTTGTTAGAGGATGGAGATAGAAGGGAGATAAAGTGTTTTGCCATTACTACTTGGTAGTCAGACTGTTCATGTAGTGGGGGGAAGAGGGCAGTCTGTGAGTCTGACCACATCTAATCTAGACTGCTTTTTCTGCTAGCCTCTGGTGCTGACAAGAGTTTGCCAAAAACCTATTTGGAAACACAACCCTCTAGCTTTGTACCCTATGCTGTTGTAAGTGCTGTCTATTTTCACTGTGTTGGCACGAGGTATCCTATTTGAACAATTGTTCCCTGTTTCACATGTCTGGCATTTAGGGTTTTTTTTTTTTTTTTTTTTGTAGTTAGTAGTACCACCAGTTTCAAAGGACTCAGGACTTCTAGTTACATCTGTGGGTGTCACAGGAAATCTGCTTCTAAAAACCTCCCCTTCTGAAGGGGGGAAATATTTTGGACATGTTTCTAACACACTTTTATAGCATCATAAAGAGCATTATGGCCATGAGTGTTCTAGTACTGCAGGCCATAGGGTCCTGGGTTCTATTAAAGTTTAGATAGCACTTCCTCCTGACCCTTCCCTAATCCTGTATTAACCATACACAGGATGGAGCAAACTGTAGTAAACCTACCTTGAGAGAAGAGTGGGGCAGGAAGTGTCTTAGTTCAGAGAATAAACTAGTCTTTAAGAATTTCAGCCCAGTTCATTATGGGACATCAGCCTAAGAGGCCCGTCCATCCTTCTTCCCCTCTCATCTCACTGCTCCTTCCCCCAACCCTTCACAAACACTTCTTTCTGGATTCCAGGTATGTGGGAAACGTCCATGAAGGGGATGGGTGGGAGAGAATGCAGTCCCTTTTACGCAATAAGCTCTCCAGTTCTAGTGTCTATTTATAGTTCATTGCTTGTGGTGGGTAGAACTACGGATACAATAGCTCCAGTCTTGCTGACTTCTGCCCCTCCCCCCCTGCCCCAGTGGTGGTCTGAGCACGAAGGTCACAGAATCAGCTAAACTATGTTCAGTCACTTGGTTACTGTCATGTAGGTGCAAGTTCTTAAGGGAGCACCATCACTTTGAAATTTAGTCAGTCTAAAGAAAAATGCTGTCCTTTAATGCTTTGTGAAGAATCAACACATATAGGATGTTGGTAAGAGTTGTAAAATGCACAAAAATAAACAGAAGAAATGAAATAAATTTTTTCCCTCTAATCTTTGTTATAGCACTATTAAGTGTCCACTATAATAGTAACTAAAATTTAGGTAGGGGAGTGACTTCTCTTTAAAAGGTTGGTGTGCCCATTTGAATACCTTTGCTGCCCTGTACTGCAGCAGGATTGGAGCAGATAGCTGTAATCCATTCACCATCATTGATATTGCTGATCTGGAATAATTGCACTGTTGCAAAGAGCTGTAGCAGAATGGTCCTGTACCACAGGGCGGGGCGCAATACAAGAACCTACATTTGCAGAGCCATGTTTGCTGATGATCAAGAGCTTTTGCTTCTGTTTGGTTTGCTCCTTCCTTTGTATGATTTGATTAGTAACTTGAGTATCTGTAAGATTTATACTATAAAACCCAAAGCCTTGTGTACAAATAACTGGTTTCTGCCAGCTTTGGTGGGTTTTTTTTGCATTTCTTGATAAATTAGAGAAGTACGGGCTACGTTCCCTGCTACTGTAGGGATAGTACATTATAACTGCATAAAAGTGATCTTGTTGGAAGCATCTCTTCATGCCAACACTTTATTTACAGAATTAATCACATAACATGGCATCTAATGAAAGTAGCAGATGCTTTTACAGAAAATAGTTGATTTTGTGGATGTCAATCAGTCTTGAACTTCCCAGCATTTCTTGGATCTTGCACAAACTCCATAGAGTCCAGATAAAATGTGTTCTTCACTCAAACCTTCATAAGATTAAAGGGGGAATAGCAGAATATCCTCTCTACTGTGGTCACGTTGGCTACTGAAGAAGATGCATGTCTTTTTAAGGGGTTGGTCATTTGCAAATGCCTAAGAACTAGCCCTAAATCCCCACTAGTTTCAGATTAAAAATGACTAAACCTGATCAGTTTGTCCTGCCTATAACCGTAATGGCCAAAACTTTTGTTTCCTTCCACAATATTTGAATTTGAGAACAATCTTCTTGCACTTTTAAAGCTCCTAGTTGTATTACTGCTTTTTCAATTCTCCCTTTGATGGAGTCTGTGAGGTTAAATAGAATCTGTGTAGGATCTCTTAAATCCTGACTTTAGCTGATGTGTGTCTCTCTCTCTCTCTCCAGCAACCAAAGGCTATCTGTGCCATGGTTGGATTCTGTCCTTCCCTGAAATCTGTGCCCCTCCTGACTCTAGTGCCTGCAAAAGTGATGCATGAAGTGAAGATGGAGTCTGTGGAGGAGGTAAGATGGGGCTTTCAACACTACCTGCTGCTTTTTTGTAAAAGGACCAAGGCTACGTGAGCCAGATGATGAAGTAAAGCTATATAGATGCATGCAGACTTTCAGACTTCCATTTCAGTGCACAGAATAACACGTCTCCTAGCATATTAAACTATTGACCATCACTGGTTGGTGTTTTAGTTTACAAAGCTGCTTCCTTTTGGAGAGTTGCATTTTGGGGCGGGCACAGAATAAAGCTATGAGGTACCATTTTAACCTTTAGTCAAGTATGAATTGTAGTACAGTACTAGACTATGGCCAGAACATCTTTCAGTTGCTTATAGCTTGAATTTTGAACAACATTTCTTCAAACATTATTAGAGGCACTAGGCTTTATTGAAGACTAAACCTTTGATAAAATTGAAGCTTAGCCTATGTTTGGTGTTGGATGCTTTTGATGTTTTTACCTTTTTAAAAAAAGACAGTATTCATACGTGTAACTCAATCAGCTCAATTTATATTTTGTTCAAACTTTCTGAAAATCAGTTCCCCGTCACCTTTTGTCTGAGGTGAAGGATGAGAAACTTGAGCACAAAAGGAAGTCTTTTTCAGATAGTTACAATGCACTGGAAATGAGGATTTTGAAAAGAATGTCTTTGACAGTATTCTCTCTGGTACAGGAAACTGGAGGATGCTTGTAGCTCAAATTGATTTGGTCCTGAAGATCCCAGTGAGCTCTGTAGCTTTTTAATAATCAGTGCCGATTAATAGAATCAAAGTAATTGGAATGGGGAAAAATCACCTAGATCAGTGCTTCTCAAACTGTAGGTCAGGACCCCAGAGTGGGTCGGGACCCTATTTTAGTGGAGTCACTTGGACTGGCTTAGACTTGCTGGGGCCCTGGACTGAAGCCCAAGCCCCACTGCCAGGGGCTGAAGCTGAAGCCTGAGGTCCTCAGCCCTGGGTGGCAGAGCTCAGGTTACAGCCCCCGTGCCTGGGGCTGAAGCCCTTGGGCTTCAGCTTTAGTGCGCCACCTGCTCTCCCCTCCCCTCCCCTCCCCTCCCTTCCCCTTGAGCAGTGGGGCTCAGGCTTTTCCCCCTCCCCCCCGTCAAGGGCAGCGGGGCTTGGACGGGCGCAGGCTTCTGTGTCTCCCACGCCCCCCCTCCTCCTGGGGTCATGTAATTTTTGTTGTCAGAAGGGGATCACAGTGCAATGAAGTTTGAGAACCCCTGGCCTAGATAGACCTATATTCCCCTGCCTTTACAGGTTTCAGTCCACTTCACATAAACTTTTCATCCAGTATTAAACTGGGCAAGAAGTGACCTTTCCAAGAGCCATTCCTTTCTTTTGAAGACCCTTTTGGAACTTACAAATAGACTTTTTAAATTTCAGTTCACCTGTGGCTCTTTGTCCATACTGGCTCCATCATATGCAACTCACTTTCCAGCAATTTATCAGTAGTAATTAGCGTTAGTTTCCATTTACTTTGTCAGCTCACGCTGCACCTGAACAAATTTCACATTTGGTTGGTGATAATCTTTTCTGGATAATTTTAACTTTAAAATATTAATGCCATAATCATATTCTATAAATATTGCCTTATGCTCAGATGCAGAAAAACCTGGTGCCAGCGGAAACCTTCTCTGTCTGCGATATATGTGAGACAATGGTGAAAGAGGTGACCAACCTGCTGGAGAACAACAGGACAGAGGTGTGGTGTTGGTGCAAAGGACAATTCTTATACTGTGATGTTTTGAAATAGAACTTGTACTAAATACTTGCTGGAATGATGCAGCTCTTGCTTGGAGCATGTACCAGTGCTGTTACAGGGTTGGAGGGAGAGTTGGTATGTGGTAACTTGTATTGCCCTAATAGTACTCTCTGGGTTCCTCATGCTCCTGGAACCGTGAGATCTCTGTCCCCCTCCTAAGTGGGATCAAGGGCATAGATGGGTACTACTGGGATTGATTCCATGTGTTCTTCCTTCTCACCACGTCTCCCTCTCTCTTATTCCAGGAGGAAATAGTGTTTGAAATGGAGAAGCTCTGCTTCGTGTTCCCTCAAAGTATCAAAGACCAGTGTAAGGACTTTGTGGAAACCTATGGCAAAGCTGTCATTGACATGTTGTTGGAGGCAACTAGTCCCGAAACTGTATGCATCATGCTGAAATGCTGCACAAGCCGCAAGCCTTCTCCTGAAGGTAAGCACTGGATAACCCGTATTGAGTATAAAACACACTTGTTTAATGTGTGATCAGATTCCCCTGTAGGGACTATCTTTTTACTATACTATTTACCTGGACCTTAATTGTTAGCCTCTTGGCTACCCTTTAGTCTAAGAACTGGACCAGCTGCAAGATAAGAAGTTTTCAATATAATCATTTTAACAAAAAATGCTAATTTTCAGCCTGTCTATTTTTGATTAGTGAGAATTGCTTCGGAGCCATTACAGGCTGGTGACTTCTGTGACGTGTGCAAGATGGTTGTACATTACTTAGAGAAGCAACTGGAGAAGAATGCTACAGGAGCTGAAATTGAGGCTGCACTTGAAAAAGTCTGTCACTTCCTACCAAAATCTATCAGCGAGGAGGTAAAGTACCTCATGCGGGGAGGGTAAATAGACATAAAAGTGATAACTTAGCCATTATGAGGCTAGAGGATCTGAGGGCTAAAATCTATGCCCTGTCACCTATCAGAGTGCTTTTTCTCTACCCTGATCCTTTACCCTCCAATAGATTATCCTTTCTAAAACACAGCTGGGACCAAATTCTTGTGCACTGTGCATGGATATTAATGTCCAAGCCTTCACAGTGACTTCTGTGCTTGAGATGGCTCACTGCCTCCATCTGTGGCAGGTGATATTTGAAATATTATGGAAGGGCTCATGGACTGCTGACTGCTTTGAAACTAGCCACAGTACAACTGAGACTCTGGAGTGTGTGTGGTTCTAAATTGCCTCAAATTGGCAGCCTGATCCCTGTTGGGATTTCTCTGATGCTTGGTATCAAAGAGTGTAAGCTTCCTTTTTGTTCATAGTAAACTGCACGAGTGCGGAGGAAGCTTGATCTCTGGCAGATCAGGTGGCAGCACCTGCCTTACAATCAGAAAAGAGAGCAGTACAAATTGGATAAATGTATAAAACCAACGAGCCCAGCAAAACGGTAGAAAGACAGACAGAATTCACACGTTGACTTGTATGAAAATACAGCCCATTGTCATGCTAAAGCAATTATTGATGATCAGTCAATTGCAGTAAGTATAATGGTTACAGTGAAGGAATTTTGTCCCTTCGCTGGAGGGTAAAGGAGCTGGGGCGTTGTCTGCTGTCCCATCCTGAACTAGGTGCAGTTTAAAAAAACACCTTGTATATTGAGACGCAAATTGCTGGATTGTTTCTCTGTTAGCTTTCTTGGGGAAACTTGTCATGACTACAGTTTGTGATGCCCTGTATCTGAGGTGGAGGGGTTGGAACAGATCACATGTTAGACTGCCTCAGCATTTTGGTACAGTTTAGGGGATTAACAAAATTGTCGGTAGTATACTGGCTTGTGAGTTAGCAAAAGGCAACATGTGGTAGTACACAGCTAAAGATATTCTGGTAAACCTTGATTGGATGGTTGAAGAGTGCTAATGGGATATAGTCTTTCACATAGACCCTGTAATGGATTTGGACTGGTAACCTGTGACTAAAAGCAGTTATAAGTTGTTCGCTGTCTAGTGACTCCTGTAAAGTGAGCTGGTAATCAGTCCAAGTCACAATTGGCAACTTTGTTGGAATTCTCAGCAGAAATCCTAGACTTAATGGTCATGGAGTCTGATTATCTTCTCACCTTTAAAGATGGTATCTCCAGTAGAAGGCTGAGGGGTATTGGTGCAGTGGAGCTTGCCCTGCTGCTGCCTATGTTCAATCTGTTGAGTTTCCATTTCAGATACTGGCATAATCTCGTCAATTACACTAAAATTTGCTTTAAAGTTGAGCAGCCTTTTCTCTTCATAGTGCTGTGATTGTCCTTTGAATACTTTTGTGTGTACTCTGCCTCTCCTCCACCCTTCTCAGTTCTTCCATGCTTGTGATTGTATTCTAAGTTACTGCTCTGAGATTTAGCTTCAGTGGCAGATCTGATTTGGTGCTCCTTCCAAATAACATACAGATATCTAATGGCAAACACTATGATGGTAAAACTTATTGCCTTAGTGAACGCTGTTTGGAGGAGGGGAAGGCGTATCTTGTAAAAAAATTTTCAATAAATCCCTTCACATATCACAATCTAAGACAACAAATGTTAGTTATATTAAAAAAAAAAGGTTGGGAGTGGTGGGGGGGAGACTTTAAATTAGACAAAAAAAAAGTTCTGTTAATATAACACAAGGACTGTTAAAATTACAATTAATAAACAAAAATCAAGCAGAAATCAATACACCAACATTGGTGTGTCAAAAATGAGGCCTGATTGGTGGACAGAATAACAAAAGGATGGGCTAATCTGCACATCACTCCGTGTTTGGGTCCTTAAAGAAAAAGTTTTTGGGAGAAAATTGGCTACAGGTGCAAGCCTCACCATCCTGGTTGCCTCCCCCACCATCTCCTGCACCCCCAGCATTTGTTATTCCAATCCGGAGAGGTGTCCTGACCAGGTCAAAGTGAGGAACCAGATCACATTGCTGCCTCCACCAATTCTGGCTGAATTGTGAACACCACCTGGGATGTGAAACTTTGGCTTTGTCTCGACTACGCTGTTTTTTGTCGACAAAAGTCAGCTTTCATTGACAAAACAGTGGCGGTGTACATGCTGAAATGCCGATGTAACTCCCCTGCTATGCATCGTATACATCGTAAAACAACCTCAACATCAGGCGTAGGGCTTATGTCTGTATAATTAGGGTAATGCAGTGTCCGTGTAGACACCATGTTCCCTACATTGGCTGTTCGCTGTCATTCTTGTCAATTTCACCGCTCACTGTGAAATTGACAAGAAAGCCAGGCAGCTAGAGTCCAGCCACCCTCTGCTCCCAGTGGGGGGTCCCAGGGTTGCTGGATCCTGCTCCTACTGGGGAACATTGGTTGTCTTGTTAATTTTGTGGCTCTGGAGGGACAGCCAAGCTCCTGCGGGGTAGGGAGCTGCCAGCAGAGCTGAGACCAGGCTCCCACGCTGCCCTTCTTAGGTCGGTGGAAGCGCTCCTGGTGAGGACGCATTCCACTGATCCATGGAGGGTAGAGTGCACATCGGCCACTGAAGTAATTAATGCGGTGGTTGTAAATTGACCTAAATATGTCAACTTACCTTTATAATGTAGACATAACCTGTCTCTTCCCACTGTCCCCATGTATCCTTTTCCTTCCCTGCCTTGTTTTTTCTGTTTCCTATCTCTCTCCTTTTTCCTTCTGTCTAATAAGTCTGGCTTTAGGCCTCTAAACAAAAAAGATAAAATGGAATGCCCCAAACAGCCCGATGCTGGTATGAGTTTGTCAGGTCTCAGGGTGACTGATAAGACTGCACTATACATGTGTGTCTTTCAGCAGCGAGGTTGAAAGTTAACATCAGAGACACAAGCTGCATTTTCTGTCTTTGTTGTTCTTTTCTCTTCCCTTTTGGCTTCGTCTTAAAGAAAGTGGATTGGACTTCAGCAACAACAGCTCCAGCCAATCTCGACTAATTTCTTCCCCTTTCCTCAAAAGAACAGTTATTGCCATCTTAGTACTATCTAAACGACAGTCGAACAAGGGGAGATTTCCTTCAATAAACTCTCTCCAGCTGAAGGGAAAAGGAACAACCAGCAATGTTGTTACAATAAAAGCCTTACTTAATACTTTGCATTTCAAATGCTTTAACCATTTTTCCTTCTTTTCTGTAACTTAAAAAAGAAAGTTATTTACCATGGTACTAAATAGGCTAAAGCAAGGGTTCTCCAACTGGGGGTTGGGACCCCTTGGTGTCGTGAGGTTCTTACATGGGGGGGGGGGAGGTCTGGAGCTGTCAGCCTCCACCCCAAAGCCCGCTTTGCCTCCAGCATTTATAATGGTGTTAAATATATAAACAAGTGTTTTTAATTGGTAAGGGAGGTCGCACTCAGAGGCTTGCTATGTGAAAGGAGTCACCAGTACAAAAGTTTGAGAACCACTGGGCTAAAGTCTCTATACATCAAACCCCAAATCTTGTTTACACAATTGAATGTTACAGTGACAGGGTCTTAACACCTTTAGCTCACATATTCCATCTAAATTAATACAAAATGTTTCAACCACCTATGTCTTGTTACAGTGTGTTCAGTTTGTGGACCAATATGAGCCAATGCTTGTGACGCTCTTGACAGAGATCATGGATCCAACTTTTGTGTGCAGTGTAAGTAGTGCATGCAGCTAACAAAGTTTCTGTGTAGAATAAGCTCTCCAAGGCAGGGACTGGGCTGGACCTTTGTGTGTGTGTACAGTGCCTAGCATGCACAGGCTCCGCTGTAATACCCATAATAAGTACACCATCAGCAGAGTGCACTGGGCCTTGCAAGACTGTAGTCTTCTGGTCTTTGGCAAGGATGAAGGAGAGCAGGGGGTTTCAGTATCTCCCCTTTGCATAAGTGAAATGATCAGATCTGTTTCCAAAATCTTAAGTACAAGAATTTTACCTTAAATGAATAACTCACTCACTCATGTGAGGTCTCCTGCTTCTGGTAGGATCTTGTGTATTAAGTCGAGACCAGAAAATAGCATAGAAACTGAAATTGTCTGAGACCTGGTGTCCTCTCAAGGGGTGTCTCAGAAGTCTGTTCATTCAGCTACAGACTGAATTGTCAGTAGCATTCTGGCACTACGGGTGTGGAAGCTCCTATCACTGCCTCTGCTTTGGCTACATATTCCAGCCCCTGTTGGCAACAGTCATAGTTGTACAGGAGGGACTGAATCAAGGGAGAGGAAGTGAGATCGCTGAATGTAAATGGGAAGACACAACTCACCTTTCTCTCTCCTCTTTCACTGCACAGAAACTAGGAGTCTGTGTGTTGACTAAACAGCATCTCTTAGGGTCAGAAGAATGTGTGTGGGGCCCAGGCTACTGGTGTAAGAACATGGAGACTGCAGCTCAGTGCAATGTAAGTCATTAGGGATTTCCTCTTCAATAACCACTCTGAGGGGGTGCTGGAAAACTAATGTGCAGAAAGTTGAAGAGAAATACAACTGCTTTTGTTAGAAGTCCTACAAATACAATGTTCTGGCTTCTGTAACACATCCTTCAAATCCTAAATTCCAGTTTCAGAAAGTAAACAAGGGGTCCCATTAGACCAGGGTCCCCTGGGTTTAATTATAGGCTCTTTCTTACCTGTTGTTGAATTACAGCAGAAATGTGTCCTATCACCTTCATTTCCCACCCCCAACACTTCATGTGGTACAAAACGAGCCTTGTATTTAGCCATGTATTCTTTTAGCTAAGGAGGATTTAAGATGACTCCTTAATGGATGGATTCAACTGGCAACAAAAACAGACGGGAGGTATTGCTGTTCATTGGTAGAGGATGTTTCCTCTGGCAAGGTGCAATCTCTGGGCCCTGATGAGAAAATGACTGAAGAATCAGCAGCTGAAATCGAAGTTAGAGGCCTCTAATGTTTGAGTTCCTGTCCCCCAGTCTTTCCTTGTGAAGCCCCCCACAATGAATTTGATTCAATACCAAACAGTCTTTGCCCCCAGAGTCCTGGGTGTTGTGGAGAGGCCCCAAGCTATTCATGCAAGTTCATGATGGGGGAGGTTTCATTTAAAGCTAGCAAACTGTCTTCTGCAATTCTACTACTACTGCTTTCTCTCTCCTAGGCTGTCGAGCACTGCAAACGTCACGTGTGGAACTAGAAGAAATCTTTAATTCTGAAAATGTCTGCGCAGGGTTTTTGTTTTTTAAATTGTGGGATAAGGAGCTGAATCTCCCTCCTCTCCTTGTCTTCTTAACTTCCCATCCCTGAAGTTCCTTTATTGTCATTCTTTTGTAGTAGTGCTGTGGAAGGTTCTGATCTGCAATGTTGACTTAACAGAAGCTATTTCTGATCATACAGTTTAGTTGATTATATGCTAAAAGAATATGCATTACACTGTGGATTTTGACCAGTAGGGTGGAGTATTGACATGCCTGGGAGGAGTGGCATACAGTGAAAGTAAAATGAAGACAAAACCTTCTTGTGTCAATTCTAAAAAGGATCAGGATAGTGTCTAAATTTTAAATGTTTTTGTAGTCACTGGTTGGGAAGACCTCCATATGCTCTCGAGTGCTCTGCATAAACATCTGGCAAGAATATTAAATTATACACTAATTGTAAAGTTACATTTTCCTTGTGTAATCTTCAGAGGGAACTGTTAAGGTAAATAAGTCCACAAATCCCTTGGGCTGGAATCTTCAAAGCTTTATAGTTATGTAAAGAATATGCACCTAGAAAATGTTCAGTAATAAGTGTGTGTAAGGTCTTTGTGTGGGGTGGGGCAGCTTTTGTGTTGTGCTCATGGCCAAGTTTTAAAGATGTGATCCAATGTAAACAGATCATTGATTTATGTAGACTTTGAGACTTAAGGTCTGATCCAAACAAGTTGTGGGAGTGAGATGGGCCACATAAAAGGCTTTATGCAGTGAGAAGTTCAGAAATCCCAGACCATGCCTGGGCAGAGGGTTCTCCTTGGACCTGGCCAGTGCTACAGAGACTGCCTGTGGGGAATTTCAAATATATTTTATGATCTGTTGGGGGAGGAAAGGAGGGTTAATGTGAGACAACAAAAGCAAAGATGTGTGCTATGAAAGTGAGCTCTAGCTAAAAATGTGTGAGGGAAGAGAAAGAGGAGAGATTGAGGTTAGGTCTTCATACACAAATGCCCTGCGGATGAGCAGAGCTCATGTTTGCTTCCATGGGTCCATGATGAGGGCCTTGGTGACTTAAGAAGCTCTCCTCATCTGCTGCGCAAGCAGAGGTGTCTGCTCACCTCGTGAAGTCTGGAAATGGTAATGATCTGGGGCATTGTGGTGCCATCACTACCAAGAGGGGGACTTGCTGGACTACTCGGGAGTGCGTATGTGCCTGCCTCCTTTGTATATCCTCCAAGCTGCCTGATGGTGAAGTGCTGGACCTTACATGGGTGGAAAAATCAACCTGCGTGAGCTTGGAGCATCCTGACCATTTCCTCTGGACCTCATTCTAGAGGCTCCAGTCTAGAGTGTCCCACGCCACAGGCAATAGGCAAACATTTAAGGCACAGGTCATCCCACTCCCATTGAAAGACTCTAAACTAGTTTTTTGTTGTTGTTGTTGCTTCTTTTCACCAGCCTTGTAGCACCCATATCTATGTACAAAATGGTCCCAGTAAGCTAAATCAGTGGATCTAGCCCATTTTGCTAGAGGGAGTGTATGAAAGAGGGCAGTGATTAATCTAAAGGGTGGGAACAGAGTGGTAAGGTTTTATTTCAACCTTGTTTTGAGGTTCACCCAGACAGCTGGTGTTAAGATGGTATGTTTTTCAGTGGCCCAGGACTCCAGAACAGCCACCAGGCTCCCTGGCTTTGCCCAGAGCTGCCACTCACTTTCATCCACCCCTCAATCTGTCAGCATCACCAATGCACCAGGAGAAGCTCTGCAGGACACCCATTAATATACAGAAGTGCTCTGCCCATGGAAGATGCACTGAAAATAATAGGAGACACTTGTACTATAGATCTGTTTCTGGCAGCTCTGTTAGCTTGCGAGGAAAAAAACTTTTGTGTTAATGCTGAGCCTACGCAGAAGACCACATTCCTGCCTGGATTCATGCAACACAGAACCTGGATAATGTAATAGTACCATATTAGAGCAGTGGTTCTTTGCCCACCAAAGAAATGGGGTCCTTTCTATAGCCTGAGCATTAGAATAATGGGAAAGACATTTCAAGAATGTCAAGGTACATTAAACCCTGCAAAATGTGGTAATACATTCCTTTTATTTGTAACGTTTCTTGAGCATTTTTTCATATTCATTTCTTTAGAGCACATAACAAATCCAATGGCATACATTCCCTTAGCATGCAGTGAGGAACAAACAGGCACAGAGCACCTCAGCCTTCTGTTTTTCTAGAGAATAGACAACTGTCATAAACCATTGGAAAAATCCCACTTATGTGGACATTGACTGGCTCCCCAAACACTTGGCTTTGGACCACACAACTAATTACCAGATTTGAGTGCATAATTCTGAACAGAATTTGTCAAAAAGAGGCACCTAAAATCAATGTTGAAAATGTTTCTGGAGAAGAGAAGATTACAGCTGAGCACATAACTCTCAAAGTAGGCGTAGTTTGAACTTTGAAAATTCCAGTTTCAACTTATTCAGAGAGCTGCCAGTGATAGTCTGCTTCTCTGTCAGGGCATTCTTTTGGGGTGGGAGTGTGGAGTGGGGGGCAGTTCTAGCAGCACACTTCAGGAACAAGCAAACTAATGATTTGAGTTAACTTAAAACCACTCAGTTGCAGCTTTCCTGCAGCTTTACTTTCTCTAGTTGTACATCCTAGTTGACTGAGATCAGTGATTTATGTATTTTTGTTTGGATCTGTATAGAACTCCGAAAGTTCTTGTTTATCAAAAAAGTGCTGTAAAAATACTAAGCATTTGCAGTTTTTCTCCATGATGGCAGGTTTGTGCAGTGGCTTCTGTCTCATCCGGAGTTTCCCTGCCCAGAATTGGGGGAAGAGATGTTTTCAGAAACAGTGGGCTCTCCTTAAGAGTAGCATCTCTACCCTAGAATTATAGGATGTGTGATACTGCAACTTTACATCTTTTAAACTACATGGCATCCTTTTTATTGTGGCTGGGGGTAACACGCTAGTTTTCTATAGGTGACAAGGTTTTAATTGTCTTGCTTTTTTTTGGGAAGCAAATGATTAACATAGTCACACTTGGCACAAGGAGAATTGGGAGCTGTTCTATGTAGTGTTTCAATTCTGGTATTAGGAACCTTTAGTTTTTGTTTCTCCTGTAGAATGATAGCATTGTCTTACTCTAGACTGGAGGAGAAAAACATGCAGTTGCTTTTTGTAGAACATTGTCTTGATTTTGCACTAAAGCTTCTGTAATTAACAATAAAGACTTCCTGAAAACCTGACATCTTTGTCCTTTTTTGCTTTTCTATAGTATAGTAGTTCCTGAAATCTTTTTACTGGCTTTGGTCTGTTGATGATCCAAACATCGTGTATGACATTCCTCTGCTGGAAGTTCCCAGGAGGGCCTGAATTTTGAGATCAGATCTTGCCATATGCCCCTAAGAGTTAGATGTCTTGCTAGAGCTCCCTTTGCATGAAGGGGAGTACATGCTATAGCTTCTCACCAAAACTGTTGGAACATAAAACAGCATTGACACTTTTTGATGGGGTTTCCATCCTTGTCGGAAGGATACACCTCACCTATTTGAGTGGTGTCATGGTTTAGAGATCAAAGTTTTCTTGTGACTTTATCTGGAACACAAGGCCTATGGAATGGGGATTTATGTACTGTTGAGTGGAGGAATTCAGTGTGGCTGGACTTCTTTTCAAGTAATTGCTTAACTAACACCTTAGACCTTAAAGCCACTGAGCCTGGTTCTTTGTTAACTAAGTAGCATATACTTGGACAACAAAGGATTGAGCGCTATGCAAATCCCGCACCTTCCATGCTGGAGTGCCATGTTGCAATATAAAGAAAGGTCACATGGCCATAGGTAGGTTAACTATTCCAAGCATGTCTACCATTCTAGTAAGCAAACAGAGACCTGGGGGTATGGTGCTTCCTGTTGTGACCTCCATAGCTGTTCTCTACATCGCATCTCCCAGTGATTGGAAGTATTTTCTAAGCGGAGACCTGGCACAGCAACTGATGTGCACCAGTACAAGTGCCAACTATCTAGTCACTGTCTTAATTCAGTTTAAGAGAGATATAGGGCACTGAGGTAGGGCGAGGAAGGACAGAAACAGCCCAAATCTTGGGTGGGAGGTATTCAAAGCTCGTAGCTGAATTGAAAGGGTTATGGTATAAATCACGTTCTTGAGATCTCAAACTATGGACCTATTGTATCCATTCACAATAGGATGGAAGACTCTTCTCCAGGGACAAAAGTAGTGAGGAGTCTATATATGCTGTCCTTTCCTCTGTGCTCCAGTACAAGGGTTCCAGACACTGCGATTGGCTGGCAGGAGTCCACTGTGTCACATGGGCCAGTCAGGTCTTCCATACTGAGCAGGAGATGCCTGTAGATTAGCAGGCTCAACCATTATTGCCAACATGGGTCTAGTGCAGGGGTCTCAAACACGCGGCCCTCGTGCACCCCAATCCCCTGTCCTGAGACACCTGCCACATCCCACACCCCTCCTGCACTCCCTGCCCTGAGCCCCCTGCCGCACCCTTCACCCACTTGCACCCCACCCACCAACTCCCTGCCCTGAGCCCCTGCCACACCCTGCACCCTTTCTGCACCCTCGGGGGCAGCATTGGGGTGGGGACTTCAGGGGAAGGGGTGGGAAGAGGTGGGGCGGGGCCTAATGGAAAGGGTGGAGTGGGGGCGGGACCAGAGGCAGCGAGGGGGGGTGTCAGTGATGCGGCCCTCGGTTCAATGCACTAGTCTTCATGTGGCCCTCGTGGTCATTTGAGTTTGATACCCCTGGTCTAGTGCATGTTGTGTCACAGGACCCCAAAGCAACATTAAGGTGGTACAATGCCTTTGCTGTCCTCTGGGAGTGGAGTGGGGAGTCTGCTGGAGACACAAGGCAATATCAATCTACAGGTCATTTCAAATGACTCCCCTTCTTGCCCTCCACCCTTGCTGTCTCTTACCTGGATGTGTCCTGGTCAGAGGGATGCTCTTAGTCTCAAACATTTGAACTGGGTTTTCATAGGCACTGCAGGGGGGAAAATGTCTTTAGTCATCTGGGAAGTAGCAAGTTGACTGCCTCATAACTTTTCACCACCAAGGATCTGCTTGCTCTGCACCCAACAACAAAAATAGTATGGAGAGTGACCTATCAATATGGGGTGAGGTGGGAGAGGCTTGTGTGCTGCTGTTTTCAGTATGAAATAGCCAGTTGGTTTTAGCCGCTGTTTCTCCACATCCCCGCTGATTGCAGGAACCATGACAGGAGTAGGACAGTCTCCTTCCACCTGCAGGGAACAGGCTGTTGTGCTGAGCAGTATCAGGTTTTTCTTTAGCTCTCCTGGGGACTTGCTCAGTTCTCGCTCTTTCCTCAGCATAATTTTGGTAATTATTACAATGATGTGCAGGGGAATGGGTGTGGCGATGAACTTGTGGGTGTCAGCTCAGTCCTCGCCGCCTGTCTCGGGGTTGCTCAGTGTTGGAGAGGCACAGCAGAGGGTAAAGCCCTGGAGAAGCTTTAGCTCTGATTCCAGCCACTGAAGGATTTTTAACCCAGAAACAGCATGGACCGCGTGTGGAAGGGCTGGGTGCTGCTAATCGCTCTCTACTTGGCTTCCTCCCAAGGTAAGGTCAGGCTGTTTTTTCTCTCCTCAAAAGAGAGCACCAAAAAAACCTCCCCTCTTTTTGTATCTGCTATTGTCAGCTCTTAGAAGAAAGATGAGTGTTTGCTTTCTGACCCCTCCCCGGACCCCCTAATCATGCACTGAGATACTGAGGTGTGCAGTATTCTATAGCTTCTATTTGTGGGTTAACCCTGGCCCAGCTAGGAAGTGAGCACAGCACATTTGCCCTGTATTCTACGGGAAGGATGTACTTGGTTTGTTCCCAGAGCTGCAGAGCAGGGACAATGGCATCCGAGTTCATAGCAGACTTTCCCTGCCATCTAGAGAGCTGCTCGATTTGTGTCTCATTCCTGTGGAGGTGGTGTGTACGTAGGAATGTTAGGAGATGTCACTTCTGATTGATTCTGTGAGTGGGTAGAACATCATTCAGAGCTGCCTTTGCATTGATCCATGAACAGTCTGCTCCCTAGTTTTTATTTAAAAAAAATAAAAATAGCTGAACCGTCAACTCTGAAGCTTTTCTCCTGATAAGGTTATGAATACTTGCATATAGGTTAATGCTGGTCATGCTGCCAAACTTCAGCGGGTGTTTGGGTGAGTTCTTGTTAGTGTTACTATCTCGTGTGGCATCTCCAGAACTTCACTGGCTATAGAGAAATCTCATATCTGCAGCTTTGGATATTTGCTAGTAAAGTCATACAACTTTAATTTTCAGTGCAACTTACCAGTAAATAGACTTGGACTATGAGAGAACCCCAAATCCACCATACTCCTTGTAATACTAGGAAAGTGATTGTGAGATATGCTTATCTGATCTGAACATGTCTTCCCTGTTGCAGCATTAGGGAGAGGCAAAGAAACACCAAATTCCCCAAGGGAAAATCGCATCCAGTCCCAAAGCTGGCAATCTGTTTTACTCTGTGTAGGCAGAAATACTTGTTTAAAATGGAGCCGAAAATCCTTTCCCAGCCCACCTCCAACTTCCTTGGTCCTGTCTGTCAGATTGGCACACCCCAGATATCGGGCAATCTGCCGAAACACTGACCTTTAGAGCAGGACAAGTGCCAAGAGCACCTCCCCTGGTTTGAGGAACAGGGAATAAAAATATCAAAAGCAGAGTCAGAAGCAGCTAGCAGGGAAATTCAGGAAAGGTTGTCAGCAGCTAGCATGTCAGTGCCTGCAAAGCCAACTGCCAGAGCTAGAGTGCTTTTCAACCTCCTGGGCTAGTCTAGCCAGTGGGGTGATGCAAGGCAGCAGGGTGTGTAACGCACAACTATGCAGGATACTCCGAGTCAGGAAGTGAGTTAAGCTAAATGAAATTAAGGCCATTCTAATTCTGAATGAGAGGATCTACACAGGTGTTTAATGCAGTTTACCTAATCCACTTTAAAATCACTCCTTTTAGTTAATTTGGATTAATTTTTTTGGTTGTCCATGTATAGACCAGCCCCATAGATTTGCACAGGAAGCTATTGCACAATAGCTATTGCACTTAGGGTGTGAATTCAATCTTACTCTAGAATAACGTGTGTGTAGACAAGCCTTAGCTGGCACCTTTACGAACGCATAGGTAGATTAGGTTATCTGCATTTACGGCTCTTTCTGAGTGCCTACGTAAAGAAGACTGGGGAGCTAGGCACTTGGTGCAGTGTAGATGCCAGACATGGAACTAAGGAAAGGGGGAGGTGTTTGATCCCCTAGAACTCCTTGGGGATTTATCTGTACTCTTGAGGTCCCACCTCTATATACTGGGTAAATGCCATACTGTGGGGTAGTGGTAGGTCAAATAAGGTATTGGGTATATCTTATGTTTGGGTACCTGGTGTCTCTGTTAGATCCTAAGCATCAGGTCTGTAACCCAAAGAAATCTCTGAACTCACAGGTTTATTCAGTACTGTAGGGATTTGCACCCGATCAGCCATTTAAGGTAATATAGATAAACCTTGAGTTCTCTGTAGTTTAAGGTCTGAGAGCCTGATCAGCTGCGCCCTCTCCTCCAGCTCTCGTAGTGGGGAGTCAGGCTTACTCTTAAGTGAGATAACCTAAATATCCCATCTCTGCCTCCAACATCACCCCAAAATGGGGCTATTTGGGATCATTTTTACAATCTCTAGTTGAGATAACAGGAAGCATGGCTCTATGTGCACAGATTGATTTGGGATGGGTGTCTGTGGAGGGAGTTTATACAGAGCCATCTCTGGGGAGTGTGATCTGATTATCCATATTCATAGATTCTAAGGCCAGAAGGAACCACTGTGATCATCTAGTCTGACCTCCTGTGTAACACATGCTATAGGACTCTTTCCCCATCCCCCAAATAATTCCTAGAGCAGATCTTTTTTTTATGAAATCCAAGCTTGATTTAAACATTGCCCGTGATGGAGAATCCACCACCACCCACGGTAAGTTGTTCCAATTGTTAATTACCCTCACTGTCAAAAATTTACACCTTATTGGGTCTAGCTTCAACTTCCAGCCATTAGATGAGGTTATCTAGTATCCAATATTTGTTCCCCATCTAGTTATGTATAGACTAATTAAGCCACCCCGGAACGTCTCTTTGAGAAGCTAAATATATTGAGCTCCTTGAGTCTATAAGACTGAAGATTAGCTGACTATTCTGAACTGCATAAACCACAC